ACACACACACACACACACACACACACACACCTCAAACATGCACGTGTGTACACACACACACACACACACACCTCAAACATGCACGTGTACACACACACACACACACACCCCAGTGAAGTTACAAACAAATTTAAAACCAAGGTTTCACTGACCTATCCCAAAAGGAATAAAAGTTTCTCTTTTCAAAAGTTGTCCCTGGTCATCCAGAAATCGATCAGGACAGAAGTCATCCGGTTTCTCCCAAACGGCTGGGTCTCTGTGTAGTGACCACAAGTTGAGGATGACCACCGTGCCTTTGGGAATGGTGTATCCTTGGAGGACTGGAGACAACAGACGGGAAGTCAGTGCCACGCTTGCTTTCACTATTAGCTTCCTTCCAACATCACTGTTTCAGGAGGGAAGTGATCCACCTACTTAACACTGTCATTGGCGGAGAACACATTCTGAGGTTCCTGGGGGGAAGGGGAAGAGCTTATCAACCAGCACTTTCTCCCTGCTCAAGCCCAGACACAGCCTGAGATGGGAGGGGCAGGGCTAGTGTTGAATCAGATCAGGCTCTGTGAGCCAAGTCAGGGCATAAGAACTTACAATCAAGAAAACACTGAAACAGAAATAGAACATAGGTAAGCTTTCTCCAAGATTTATATACTCTTAAAATGCATACAGAATGTGTCTTATTTAGGGTTACTATTATTGTAATGAAGTAGCATGGCCAAAGCTAACTTGGGGAGGAAAAGGGTTTATTTGGCTCACACTTCCATATCACTGTTCGTCATTGAAGGAAGTCAGGATAGGAACTCAAACAGGGCAGGATCCTGGAGGCAGGAGCTGATGCAGAGGCCATGGAGGGGTGCTGCTTACTGGCTTGCTTCACATGGCTTGCTCACCACCCAAAACAGGCTGGGCCTTCCCCCATCAACTACTAATTAAGAAAATGCCCTACAGCAGCAGTTCTCAACCTGTGGGTCAAGACCCCTTTGGGTGTCAAACACCCTTCACGGGGTTTGCTAAGACCATCAGAAATATCAGACATTTACATCATGATTCATAACAGTAGCAAAATTAGTTGTGGCGCAGCAATTAAAATAATGTCATGGCCGAGGTCACTGCAACATGAGGAACTGTAATAAAGGGTCAGAACATTAGGAAGGTTGAGAACCACTGCCCTACAGGTTTGCCTACAGCCCGATCTTATGGAGGCATTTTCTCAATCGAGGCTCCCTCCTCTCAAATGACTTTAGCTTGTGTGAAGTTGACATAAAACAAGCCAGCAGCACAGAACGGACCAGCTTACAGGCTTTTCTGTCCACACAGTATGATGGGGAGGGCACACTAAGGAAAAAGATCTACCGGGAATTCAACGCCCACTGTTACCAGCTGCAGGCTGACCCCCTACAGGTACCGGGCACTTCACGGTGGGTCGAATCTGCGTTCTGGGCTGTCTCTAGAAGCCTTAAACTTTGCCCTCCCCATCAACCTCTCTCTGTCTCGCAGAAACAGCTGACCCTGAAGTCACAATTCTCCTGCTTCAGCCTCCCTGGGGTTACAGGTGTGTGGCACCCTTCATTATAAAGGGAGGGTTAAAGACATGCTGGATTCTGCCATGTGATAGGTTAAAATTGACGACCCTGGAATCAGGCTGGAACATTCCAATTTTTAAATTACACTTTGGTTGCAGAATTTTAAAGACCAAAGTGGGCTAACTTGGGGAAGACTAGAGGGGTCACTATCAACTCCAGAATTGCTTCTGCCCAAATAGCTGACTTGGGGGTTGACATCATGTTTTGCTAGTGTAAGTGTGCACACACGGGAGGCCAGAGGACTCCTGGGAATGACTGCGGTGCCTGTACCAAAGATAACAATCCCTGGACCCTCCCACCCCCCCACCCCCCCCCCCCTCCCCACCCCCCACCCCCGCCTGGGACACAGAGCTAGTTCTGCTGTGGCCACACCCCTCCCCACACTACGCATGCCCTCGGGGGCACACGGAGATGCCAGGCTCCCGACTTGCCTGTTTTCTCCGAAGTCATATGAGGGATGGCCAGGGGCACCGCCATGGAAAGCCTCTGCACCTCCATGATGGTGGCTTCTGTGTACGGCATCTGGGCCTTGTCCGTGAGGGAAGGAACTCGGTCATGACCAATGACCCTCTCAATTTCTTCATAAACCTTTTCTATGCAAAAAGGAAAGAATGAAGCGCAGATGAGCCTGGGAGAGCTGAGTCAGCACTGTTGCACAAAATGTACCCAGCAAGGGGTCAGTGGCCCACGGTGGCCTCATTCAGGACTGGTAGAGAAAGGAAGCCATGGGGGTGGGGCGCTGCAAGAACAGACCAGGCCAAAGAAGCAGCATGCTCATTTAACTGTCATGTGACTCTCTAAGCTGTAGTATCATGTGACAGTCTCAAATACCCCACAAACGCTACCTTAGGGGTTGCTGTAGTGGGGGACACCCCCCCAAAGCCTGGGGTTGCAGGTCTGTCCCCACAGTGGTGTCATTAAGAGGGAGGCCTTGTGGGAGGATTTGGGCTGGGGTGGAGGTGGGGAGTGAGGGGTGAGGGGTGCCCTTGAAGAGAATGATGCAACCCTAGACCTTCCTTCCTTGTCTCCTGCACCCGCCCAGAGGACACCCCCTCCACAATGCACTGCCCTACCACAGGCCCCATGGACACAGGCCCCAGACCGAGTCCTCAGAAACCACTCGCCAAAACACTTCCCTCTTGTCAGCTGGTTAGCAATCAATCACACTCTGTTCCAGCATTGAAAAGCTGGCTGACACCGGTTCATATACGTGTGCTCCTCGCCGACCTGGAGCTTTGATACTCAAAACCTTTATGTAATAATAAAGCTACTGTTTTAAGCAACTAAGTTTGGGGATAATCTGTTGCTTAGTAATAGCTAGTTAAAAGAGGCAGCCACAACGACGACTATGGTAAGAAAACAAACCAAAATGGGCCCCGGAAGAAGTTCACAACTTGTCCCCTGGAGCTTTATAAATGTGAAACTTTCCATGGTGTCTCTGTCTGTTTTTACAGAAAACTTAAAGCTGGGTGCTGATTTATAAAGAAACACTCCCCCCCCCCCCCCCCCGTTTTGGAAGACCCAAGTCCAAGAACAGCAGCCACTATTCAGTTACATGGCAGACAGTACAGTGAGAGCATGTGAGAGAGAGAGAGGTCACAGGGCGAACAGGAATCCCGGGGGACGCAGGGACCAAGGCTGCTCCTTTTGCAATAACCCGTCTCGTGGGAACTAACTAGGGCCAGTGAGAACGACATTATCCTGCTGGAGGACGAGAGAGACGGCATGGGAAAGGGATTCAGCCGTGCTTTTCAGAAATCTTCCTTCATGTTCTTGAACTCCTCACAAATCCTGTCTCCAGATGAAGCGTTCTCAAGCTGCTGTGACTAACTAACTACCTTGCCCTAGGTATCTCAAGGTTCTACCTCCTCAATGTGACAGCACTGAGGACCAAACTTCTAGCACATGAACCTCTGGGGGACACCTTCAAATCATATCCACTGATAGTGCGTAGCGGAAGGGGCTATACTGACCCAACCAAATTAAGGATGTGAACATGGGGAACACATTCTGAGCTATTCGGTGTATCCCCATCTAAGCACAGTTACACGCTATGGAGTAACACTTTCGTCAATCACAGACCACAGAAACAAGCGTGGTCCTATAAGATGATGTTGCCTAGTAACACTATGGTTACCTTAGCTCAAGTGTACCCTGTGATGGTTGCAAAATGATGAAATCATCTAATGTCATATTCTCAGAACAGGAACCCATTACTCAGCAGCATGGGTTGTAAAATCAGAGAGCCTTCCCCAGCCAAGGAGATGGGACTATGGGAGCATGGTCAGAGTGCTGCGGCCTCGCTGCCTCCGACGACAGAGAAGAGGACCACAGGTCAAACAAGCTGGCAAGAGCAAGGAAATGAATTTCCCTCCGGGGCCTCCAGAGAGCGACACAGCCTGGTCAACACCCCAGGTCCTTAGTCCAGGGAAGCACACACCACACTTCTGATCTAAACACTCAGAGCAAATCCAGGCTGGTTCACGTGACTAGGCTGGTGGTGACTAGTTACAGCTGAAGTAGAAGCCAATCTACCATGCTCTCTTACTCATCCAGTGTTTCCTGCCACTTCCTGCCACCGGGCTGATGTGCTGGCACCAGCTGTGACTTTCACGGACGCTTTGGGGCTTGTGTTCTCGCCATCTTCAAAGCAAGATGGAAAGGTTCAGAGGAGCATTACAATTTGCACAGCCCTAAGACACCCTACTTCTCTCACGATCCTTCACTTTCAATGACTTCGGGGGTTGGGGGGTGACACGGGACACTGGACTATGGAGACTGAAGCAGGACGAGCAAGCTACAGCACTGGTCCATCTAGAAACCCGAGGCTTCGCTGTTCGCATCTCACGCTCCCTATAAAATGCAAGTGTTGATTTTGTTTTCCAACCTGGAAACCCGAGTGCCCGGGGTTAGCAGATCCCAGGGGTTGCTACCTGGTTTAAATAAATACCCTGCCCTGACCCTGAGGGAAGGACAAATCTCCCAATTACCCTGCACGTCAGGGTTCAGTGCCATATACAGCAGGCACCAGAGCAAAGAGTTGGTCGTGGTGTCGGTGCCGGCGATGAAGAGGTCCCCGATGATGTAGAAGAGGTAGTCCTCGTCGAAGCTGGTGCCGCCGCCGCCGCCGCCGCTCCTCCTCCTCTCCTCCTCCGCGTGCAGCAGGTACATGTCGATGAAGTCCTGAGGGTTGCCGGCGTCCAGAGACCCCTGATGCGCTTTGATGATGTTTTTCAGGAAGCAGGTTATGTCCCTTTCAATCTGCCTTAGTTCCTTAAACGGCCCAAAGGGGAGGTAGTAAAACCAGGGGCATATGTTGATCAGGAAGAGCTGGCTGTGCAAGCAGATTTCTAAGCCTCGGGACATGAAATCCAGCACCTTCTTGAACTCCTTGTTTGTGTAGTCGAAGCGTTGGCCGAAGCACAGGGAACAGATGATGTTAGAGACGGCATTGCTGATGACCGGGAAGGGATTGAAGGGGGCGTCTCCGTGTTTCTCCATTTCTTCTTTTACATACTGGAACTCCTCAATAATCTTGGGCTCCAGGCTAAGCTTTCCCAAACCAAAATGACGAAGGGTCGAATGGGAGAATTTCCTCTGCTGTTTCCAGATTGGACCATAGTGTGCAAACACAATTCCTGTAGCGGACAGAGAGGAAGGTGAGATCAAGGCCTGGGAACAGCAAACAGGACTGACCCTGAGCTATAGTCTGTATTTTCAAGTCTCCAGGCCAAAGTTCCTATGCAGATAAAGACAACCGGGTAAGTGTCATTATAAAGACATTTGTTTCCAATAAATGCTAAGTCTAAATTAGGATTGCTTGCTAGAAAGTTGTTATTATTTATTGTAACTTTGGCTAAAATGAAAAGCAACGAGTTTTGATGCCTAAAATTTTTGTGCACTTAAATATCTTTATGCACCACAACAGCAGATTCAGCTTAGAAAACCTTTCTAACAAAAGGCCCCCATACTTGTAGCAGGCTTTCTTTTGTGCCGTCAACCAGCTGGTGACACAGAGACTTCTTATTAGTTATGAATGCTCAGCTTCGTCTTAGGCTTGTCCCACTGGCTCTTTCAACTTATTTTAACCTGTTTCTCTTCACCTCCGTTTTGCTGCGGGCCTTTTTTTCCCCCCCTTTCTTTCACTCTGTACGTCCCACTCCGTGGCTGGCTGGCTGGTGGCCGCCTCGCTGGCTGGCCCCAGGCGGTCCCTCTCTTTCTCCCTTGTTCTCTTCTCCCTCTCTGCCTGACAGCCTTGCTTATCCCTCCACTGCCTAGCTACCAGCTGTTCAGCTTTCTACTAGACCAATCAGGTGCCTTCGGCAAGCACAGCAACACATCTTTACATCGTTGAACAAACGCAGCATAAACAAATGGAACACGGCTCTGCCTAGTTAAAGTGATATTCCACAACACATACTCAAAATGCCACATTCTAAACACTGAACAGAAGTATAACTGCAGTGGCAGACTGACTCAAAAGCAGAAAGCACACTTCTGCCTTCCGTGCAGAGCCCAGCCTCTGCACAGTGCTGAGCACACAGCAGACGCCTGCTAAAGTGTTAGCTGAAGAAATGAACACCCCATCTGGAACTGAACCATGGGCATGGAAAATCGGGACCTAGTAAATGTTAAATAATCAGGCTGGAGAGATGGCTCAGAGGTTAAGAGCACCGACTCCTCTTCCAGAGGTCCTGAGTTCAATTCCCAGCACCCACATGATGGCTCACAACCATTTGTAATGAGATCTGGCACCCTCTTCTGTGTACATAATAAATAAATAAATCTTTTTTAAAAATGATAGCCGGGCGGTGGTGGCGCACGCCTTTAATCCCAGCACTCGGGAGGCAGAGGCAGGTGGATCTCTGTGAGTTC